ATACTTGTCAGGACAAGTGAAAGACGCGTCGGTGATAAGAGTTCATCTAGGCACTTGTGTCAGCCGTTCTCCACGTTTGCGGAGTGACAGTCTGTATTGCGTATCCAGGTGAAGCCTGCTGTGCATCCATAGTCGCGTTCATACTCCACAACTCGCGCGACTGAGTCATCTACTATGAACGGGACTTGAGCAACAAAGGCGTGACATCAAGTAATCAATAGCACCAGAAATCGTACGCGACATTGATTTTTCGGAGCGCTCATCATGCCTGCTACTGATTGTGCAGAATATCAGTAGTACACGTGACGAAGAACTCAAAGAAATCAGCATCGGTTGGGCTCTTTCCATGCCATGGATCACTTTTCCACGCCTATGTTGCTCAGTCTGCACTCTCAGACTTATCTGTTTAGAGGAAAGCAAGAGCAACCATCTCACTTCATCGTAGATTTGCATAGCGTCTTTGCTGTATCTTCTGTAGCTGTATAACAGTTGCTTTTTTTCTGTCCACAAGACCAGCTGGTGCACTTTGCCTCAGGAGGGGGGGCAGTCTGTAGGACGGCTCCTAGGACTAAGCTTACGGTGAGGAATGAAGTCCGGAGAGAATGGTAATTGTTTACGCAACCTGGAGTCCCTCTTTTCCTCTGAAGGTTAGTTCTAAAACAGCGTTTCCGTAACTCAGACGCAGTGTTACGCGCTTCCCCCTAAGCTATATTATGCCGACCATCTTTTTTCTAAAGATTGTTGTCGGGAGACTTCAGACATAAGTCCGCTCTACCCGTCGCGGTAAATAAGTATAGACACCTATGACATTGTGAAAGTTGCGAAGTGTGCGACAAGCGCGCGCTTGATTACCGTATTACGTAATCGATCGGGTCGATGCGGCATGCTGTTTTGGAATTGGGGACTGCCCGACAACATGAGCTAACTCTGGCACATACAGGCTTCTTCGCGAAGTTTCACCCATGTGCAATATCGCTAACTATGAACGCTGATACGCGGTCATTAATTTTACCCGTTCATGGGTGTGCCTTCTCCGTTATTGCAGAACAGCCACTATGATACGATTCTGTTGCCACATTTTGCTACATCTCTAGTCGCCTTCATTTTTTCATACTTTCTCTTTTTTGCCTCATCCATACTTCACAGTGAGTTTTTAGATTGCACTTCGGGCGTGATTCGCCAGGACCAGAAGCGACCTTCCCACTTTTCCCCGCGAGAAAATTTTCGCTGCGGGAACCTTCTTTCAGTCCCAGAGAACACACTCCTGCACTGTTTAAGGCGGCTACTCGTAAGTTTTTCGCTTTTTCGTCAGTATTTTTTCAATCATTGAAAAACCTGCAAACCTTATAGCCTTACAGTTTCATTTCATTCAGCTGAAGAACTTTCTTAGACCGCGTCTATAGTTCACAGCTCCGGAGATTGGGATAACAAGCGACAATGAAAACAAAAACATGTGTCGATTGGGAGATTGGTAGATTAGTAGAATAGGAAGTAAGGGAGGTTTTTTCCCACTAACTCCCATACTTCAAGTCGCGGACTATTGACATGGCCTTAAATTCGGTGGGATCGTGGGCAGTGATGGACTGGAAACTGACCACAAACTGAGTCGTAATCTCAGTGCCTATTTGGAGAATGCTTTTCGCATCAAAGAACTTTATTTTGTGATCTTTTCGTCTCTTGTATTCTTTTGTGGCACACACATCCACGCACATAATGAAGCGCTATCGCCAAGAGTTAACTAAGTGTGAGTGAGTGGTCGTGACCGCTGCTGAGTTCTCGACGGATTATTCGTCTTCCTTTTTTGACGTACTACTTTTTGGCACCTCCATTTTTACGTTTGACTGCAAGTTCATTTTATTGTAATCGCAGCCTTCAAGAAAACGTCAACCTACAAATTTGCATAAGGAAGGCTACACCGGTGCAAAATCACAATGATCAGCTAGCTGTAAGCTATTCTTCACAGGTGTTGTTCATAGGACAGAAAGCGAATTTTCGCCTTTTGCAACGTAAAACTTCTCTCGCTGCGGGAATCTCAGGTCCACCGCGCATTAAAGGTGTACCTAGGTTTCTTGGCTGCGAAAAAAGTTTTCGCGTATACGAAAAAGCTTTAAATTCCCTTTCTGTCATAGCGGAGCACATCCATTCTTCACCGAGAGGGGCGCGTCTCTACTAATGCAATCTTCCCTCCCCAACTTCAGGGTCACGCTATGGGACCCCCACCCCATCCCCCACCCTCCGGCTGACTCCTCCCCTGTCCTCGCGCTCCCCGCACCACTTTCTCACTCACACACCCTAACACTCCCCCGTATGAACCGCGAGCGCTCTCCGCGCCCCCCCCCCCTCCCTCCCCCCTCCCTCCCCCCCCCCTTTTCTGTTAAAGTCATGGGTTCTACCTACCACCCAGGAGCGGCGTGATTGCCCCAATCTGGGAAAGCATGACAACTCGTCCATAATGGGCGGAGCACTTAGCGGCTGCGTATCGAACTCACGCCCATGAACGTGCCTTTCTTCTTCGGTTTTCCGCCATAACTAACTGATGTTTCTTTTATGGAAGGAGAATAATTCATAAGTGAAAATAACAGTACTCACGTGCAGTTCGAATATCCATCACCAGTGAAGCCGTCCTTACATCGGCATGATCCGGTAGCGACTTCACAGATCGCCAACTCGTGGCACATCGAGCGGTCGGTCGAAGAGCATCGTTTGTTGGTGACTTGTCCCTCATTTGGTGGCGGCAGTGTGGTTTCAAATGACTCCACAACCACTTTGAGATCATCTTCGGTAGTCGAATGGAGTTCTGAGTCAATAAGAATATCAGGTTCTATAAAATCTGGTTTGGACGGTGCGGTGGTGCTGGTGGGTGCATCGGTGACAGGACGTGATGGTGCAGTGCTGGAAACGACAGGGACAGTTGTGTGCAAAGTAAAGGATGGAGGTGGTGAAGCAGTGGGACTAGTGAGGAAGGAAATTGTGGTATTAGTTGGTCCAACTTCAAAGGTGCTTGAAGTTTTCTCATTGACTACGGTAGCACCATTGGAGCTGAGTGTTGCTGGAGTGGTGCTGAGAATTTCGGGAAGGGTTGTAGTGAAGTTCTGGCGATCCTGCTCTTTGGTTGCAGGAGGCACACGCTCTTCTACCACAGATGTCGGGCTGCTTGTAGACAAACCTTTCCGGTTTGAGGGTGTAACACTGTCTGGATCAGGTTGTTGAGGGTTCATTTCCCCATCAATCTCAATCATTGGTCCTGTGGTTTGCGTACGATTTACTTTGAAGCCTTCGCTTGGTTCAGTTGTTCTGGTTTGTGACACAGTAGACGAGGTGAAGGTGGCTGGCCGCCGTGAATTTGGAACATCAGGTCTTGAGGTCGTGCTAGCCCTCTCATTTGTTCCATTAGGCGATTCTGGAGTCTGCCTGTGGGTGCCTCTATTGTCGGGACGTGGGGTTGAAGCAACTCTTCCGCGTGTTATGGTGACTTCTGAAGGTGATTCGGAAGTCGATGAAGATGTACTGGATGGTTCAGCTGAAGATGGCAATCTTTCTGGAACGCTCGGTCGTGGGGTAACGCTGACTCTTTCACTTAGCTCATGTGTTGGCTTAGGTGTTTTTGGTTTGTCAGTGCTTGCAGGTTCTCGAGTATGAGTGACTCCTTCGTCGGGTCTGGAAGGAAATCCTGGCGTAGCTGGTTTCCGAGTTTCTTGGATAGATCTTGTGGTGTGCTCAAATGGCCCAGCGACTCTGTTGGTTGGCTCAGAGGATACTTGGCTTTGTTCTGGATTGTGAGGTTGTGAAGTCGTACTGGAAGACCTGCTACCCGGTCTGTCGGTTTCTATGTTCGGTCTCGGTTTTGTAGTAACATTGGCTCTACTATCGGGTCTAGAAGGGAATCCTGGAGTAAATGGCTGTAATATCAGGTCTTAAAGTGAAAGTTCCATGTGGTCCAGTAGCCCTGCTCGGTTGCTCGGGGATTGGTTCAGGTGAAGATGGCTGTCTGCCAGGAACGTTCGGTGGTGGAGTTGCATCAACTGTTCCAGGAGAATCTGGTTTCTCATTCTCTCCAACATGTGGCCTTGGAGTAACGGTGATCCTTTCGTCAGGTCCAGGTTGCGTTCCAGGGACACGAGGTTTCTGGGTATTCTGAGAATCAGGACTCGGAGTGAATGTTCCATGCGGTCCAGTGGCTCTGTTCGGTTGCTCGGGAGTTGGTTCAGGTGAAGATGGCTGCCTGCCAGGAACGTCCGGTGGTGGAGTTGCATGAACTGCTCCAGAAAAATCTGGTTTTTCATTCTCTCCAACATGTGGCCCTGGAGTAGTGTTTACTCTGTCGCCAGGTCCGGAAGACGAGCCAGGAACAGTAGGCTGGGCATTAGGACTTAGAGTGAACGATCCATGTGGTCCGGTGGCTCTGCTCGGTTGCTCGGGAACTGGCTCAGGTGAAGATGGCTGCCGCCCAGGAAGTTGTGGTGGGGTTGCACCAACAGTTCCAGGGGAATCTGGTTTCTTATCCTCTCCAACGTGTGGCCTTGAAGTAACACCTACTCTATCACCAGGTCCAGAAGACGAGCCAGGAGCAGTTGGCTTTTGCGTATTTTGAGCGTTAGGACCTAAAGTGAATGTGCCATGCGGCCCAGTGGCTCTGTTCGGTTGCTCGGAGGTTGGCTCAGGTGAAGATGGCTGCCGAGCCAGGAACATTAGGAGGTGGAGTTGCATTCAACTGTTCCAGGAGAATCTGGTTTCTCATGCTCATCCAACATGTGGCCTTGGAGTAATGCCTGCTCTATCATCAGGTCCAGAAGACGAGCCAGGAGCAGTTGGCTTTTGCGTATTTTGAGCGTTAGGACCTAAAGTGAATGTGCCATGCGGTCCTGTAGCTCTGTTCGGTTGCTCGGGGATTGGTTTCTCATTCTCTCCAACATGTGGCCCTGGAGTAACGCTTACTCTGTCGCCAGGTCCGGAAGACGAGACAGGAGCAGTTTTCTGGGTATTTTGAATATCAGGACTCAAAGTGAATGTTCCATGTTGCCCGGTGGCTCTGCTCGGTTGCTCGGGAACTGGTTCAGGTGAAGATGGCTGCTTGCCAGGAAGGTTCGGTTGTGGGGTCACCCTCGCTGGTCTAAGAGAGTCTGGTTTCTCGTTTTCTCCAACGTGTGGCCTTGGAGTAACGCTAACCCTTTCACCAGGTCCGGAAGACGATCCAGGAGCAGGAGACTTCTGGGTATTCTGAGAATCAGGACTTGGAGTGAACGTTCCGTGTGGTCCAGTGGCTCTGTTCGGTTGGTCGGGGGACGGTTCAAGCGAGGATGGGTGCTGGTCTGGAATGAGTGGTCGTGGAGTCATACTGACTCCCTCCACCTGATTTGGATGCCGGTCCAGGAGCATCTGTTTCTTCAGCCTTCGTAAGGTCCGATTTCGGAGTCAAACTTACTTCCGTCTTCAGGTTCTAAGGGCGATTTCGTGGGCGACGGCTTGTGGATATCTTGTGTGTCCGGGGTTGGAGTAATCTTGTGCCCCTCATGTGTACCGGATGAAGATCCAACAGTGCTGGGTTTAGGTGTTCGCTTGGATCCTGGTACGCCTTCTGGGTGTACATGATCAGGATTCATTTCTCCATCGATCACAACCATAGGTCCAGCTGTTTGTTTTGGATTCACTTGTGATGGTTGGTCAGTATTAGAGGTCTCAAATGGTGCTTCGGAAGATGATCTAGGTGTGAATGGCTTGACAGTTACAT